TTTTGGGATCCGTATTCGTAAGGGCTTCCTACTATGTTTTGGGGTCTATATTTTTTGGGGTCCCTTATCTTCCTAAACTCCCATGTCAGTAGCGTCTTTACGAGTGTGCCCGGTGAGGCCATGAGCGGATCGCGCGGAGCTTCGACGGAGCCAATGGGATCGCAGCTGCCTGCGCTGCTTACGTCTGTTCGCGCCTCAGAGTCCCTAGGGTTTAGGGTTTAGGGTTTGGGGTTTAGGGTTTAGGGTTTAGGGTTAAGGTTTAGGGTTCTCTATACAACCCCCCCTAGGTTCCCCCCATAATGAAGGCCATTGAGGGATGATTATGATAAATTAAGGTTCTTGAAGGGGGGACCGAGGGGGTCCGGGGGGTAGTACAGAAGAGGGTAGTAGGGGAACCCATGATGTGGTCAGGCCTATACAATACTGGCGGCTTACGAAACGAGGGGACCATCCCCAAAAAAGCTAGGACCCCCTTATACTTTGGACCCTAAACTCTAAACCCTAAACCCTAAACCCTAAACCCTAAACCCTAAACCCTAAACCCTAAACCCTAAACCCTAAACCCTAAACCCTAAACCCTAAACCGCCTAAACCCTAAACCCTAAACCCGAAACCCTAAACCCTAAACCCTAAACCCTGGACCCCAAGAAGGTACCCCTAATTTCGGAACCCCCCCATGTTGATGCAACCTTTGGGGGCATTTTGCCGAAAACTCTTTCCGTCAGCTCCAGACAGAAATGTCAAGCGCTTACTCTGTCTGGTGCTGTGGCTCTGTCCTAAGTCAACTTGCAAAAGCATGTAGGGTTTAGGGTTTAGGGTTTAGGGTTTAGGGTTTAGGGTTTCGGGTTTAGGGTTTGGGGTGTAGGGTCTAGGTGCTGCGAACCTCAAGAAACGGCCGGAATGCAACAGGAGCCCACCCTACGTACCTGAGTAGACATGCATCAAATCCTTCCTGCCCTGGCGCGCTGAAGCCGGTAGACCCTCCTCACTCGCCTCCCTGAGCCATAAACCCTAAAGTTTCGGGTTCAAAGCCTAAACCCTAAAACCCCTTTGCGGCCCCCAAGACCACCGATCCCCGTCAATTCCTCGGCGCGCTCTGCGGGTTCTGAGTAGCTCTGTACCCCGCAGACTGTCATGAGGGATACTCGAGAGATGACCCATGGAAGCGGAAGTTGCCGGGCAAGTGCTTTGGTTTAAGGGTTTGGGGTTTAGGGTTTAGGGTTTAGGGTTTAGGGTTTAGGGTTTAGGGTTTAGGGTTTAGGGCTTGGGCTTAGGGCTTAGGGTTTATATAGGGTTTAGGGTTTAGGGCTGAGGGAAACTGGGCCTTTGGCGTGATTTGTGTGAGAGTTAGGGCTCAGAGTTGTTCCCGGCACGATGAAGGCTCCCCTTCCAGGTGTCAAGCGCGTCCCCTAAACGATGGAATCATCAAACCTGAGGTTTACAAGGACAAGGTGAAGGACCACAAAGTGAAGAGCGAGTGAGATGTCGCAGGGCACGACGTGCAAGTAGGCCCCGCCCTGCCTCAGATGCGTTTTTCGTCGAGTTCCGCCCTTATCCACGAAGTTGACCACATCTCTAAGCTCTTCAATGAAGATCATTACCCTAAACCCTAAACCCTAAACCCTAAACCCTAAACCCTAAACCCTAAACCCTAAACCCTAAACCCTAAACCCGAAACCCGAAACCCTAAACCCGAAACCCTAAACCCTAAACCCTAAACCCTAAACCCTAAACCCCAAACCCTAAACCCTAAACCCTAAACCCTAAACCCTAAACCCTAAACCCTGAACCCTAAACCCTAAACCCTAAACCCTAAATGCACTCGGTCATGTGATTCATCCTTTCGCAATCCCTTTCCGGATGCTCCGGACGAAGCACGAGAGGGGTGGTCACGCCACATCGCTCCAGGACTTGCTCGGGAGGTGCGCTCCCATACAGGTATCTACTATTTGTTTAGGGACCCCCCAAAAAATCAGAAATAGAAATCCCTGTATTACCCTTGTAAGGAAGGATATCTTTGCATTTTTTTGGGGGTTCTTAAACAAATAGTAGGCATACGGGCATGTTTCTGATATTCACTTGGAGCCCAAGGATCTGGGTGAGTGTGTCACTAAACGATCGCCACTGTGGCTGTAGCCAGGCATGTCACGACACGCAGCATCCGTTGCCGCAGAAGACCGTGCGGGTTTTGGGTTTAGGGTTTAGGGTTTAGGGTTTAGGGTTGGCCAAACTGACCAAGCTGGCCACGGGTCAACTGCTTCATGTTGCCATGGGCACTACGCATGCACTTCGGTGGCGAAGAGAGAAGGAAAACTACCACTCCGACCATTCAGTATGGGGACACACATTCTCCAATGTTTGGTGCCCATGCCTTTTGCAGTCGTCTCAGCAATATGGTCACAGATGGAATAGGTCCAATAGGTGCCAACTCATGCCCATCCTCACAAAGTCGCTGAGGACAGCAACTGGAAGCCGCAAGGTGTTGGAGATCTTGAAGTCATATTACTAGACTCGAAACCTAAACCTTAAACCCTAAACCCTAAACCCTAAACCCTAAACCCTAAACCCTAAACCCTAAACCCTAAACCCTAAACCCTAAACCCTAAACCCTAAACCCTAAACCCTAAACCCTAAACCCTAAACCCTCAACCTTACGGGGTGTCCAACGCAGCGTTGTTGACAAAGTTCAATTTGTGTCACCATAATTTCGAACAGGGCGAGCGGTGGAGATGTGACACAAGTACTCCTCAGTTTCGGGGGCTTAAACCCTAACCCTAAACCCTAAACGCCGGGGTTAGGGTTTAGGGCTTAGGGTTTAGGGCTTAGGGCTTAGGAATTAGGGTTTAGGGTGGTGAGTGTTTGACTCGTCGTTCTGCCCCTTGGCCCCACGTCTGTTCTAATACGGAACGGAATGTGGTGATGTTCAGGGGCACAAGGAGGGACCCCTAGAAGGGACCCCTAGCAGGGACCCTTAATCTTATTCCCCTATATAGCCCATATATATCCCCCATATATATATATATATTATAAAGTCCCTATATACCCCTATAAAGGGTCCCTCCTGTAATCCCTTTGTTACTGTCAGCCGAGATCGCCTGAACTTGTCTGGCGTGCGCGAGTGTGAGAGTCGAAAAGCCCTTGAAGCCCGAAAACCCTAGAAACCCCCCCCCCCCCCTCACCTCAAAGTTTGGGCCCCAAAGCACTGAAAAACCTCCTGAACCTCCCCCCCCGAAGCCCCCAACAAAACCCCTCCACCAAAATCGAAGCGAAACCTGCTTTCGGAAGAACCTAGGGGTTTGGTCGCGCACGCGTGTGTGGTTTCTTCACTGCTCCTTCATCTGTACGACGCAGCAGTTTGCCTGCCAGCAACCCTGAGAGGCGTTTGCTGGCATGGCGTCGCCCAGAACAGCATCCTCAACCCTAAACCCTAAACCCTAAACCCTAAACCCTAAACCCTAAACCCTAAACCCTAAACCCTAAACCCTAAACCCTAAACCCTAAACCCTAAACCCTAAACCCTAAACCCTAAACCCTAAACCATGGTTGAATCAGCTTTCGCTCCAGTCCCTCACCCTCAATTCAGTTGATTGTGGCTGCACGCCGGTTTTCTGGATGCTTGCCTGCCTGCAGGTTTCGATTCGCACATTACACCAAGGTGGAACCTAGTGCTTCAAGTTGATCAGGGTTGTCTGTTCATTCATGCAGTACAGGAGATGGTTTCCTGTATCTCACGTCGTCCTAAACCCTAAACCCTAAACCCTAAACCCTAAACCCCAAACCCTCAACCCTAAACCATCTTTGGCAGCTTGGGAGGCGTCTCAACTTAGCAGGCCTCGGAGTGGCACAGCAACAGCGCTGGTGCCTTTGCTGTCTGACTCAAGTATCACAAGCTGTGTAGCCGCAATAGTCATCAAATAGAAATAACCGTCAGAATCATAACAGTTTCAACAATTATAATAATGGTAGTCGTAATAATAAGAATAGTAGTAATAATAATAATAGTAATAATATCAAGAAGAAAATTAATTGTCACAGTCGCAGTGCCATCATATATACCAGAATAGCACACTCGATCGGATGGAACGTGCACAGCGGACGGCAGTGCAGCGCTCCGGCATCACAATTGCCATAAGAATGAGCACTGAAGAGAATTCGCTGTAGCACGAATAGGAACAACAAAGAGAATGACAGTCATAGCAAGAAGAGGAGCATGATTCAAAAAAATGTGAGTAGTCTTGATATCATTGTTATGGTCTCATACTTTTCAGAATCAGAAGAACAATATAAAGAATTTCAAAACAAGAACAATAGCAATCACAAGAACAATATAAAGAATTAAAACAGGAACCATAGCAATAATAACATTATTCATCATCACAGCCCCCACAGCCGGTCGCACCACCGCGGCACACATGTGGGCTCCAGCGCGGGCCTCGGCCCAGCTTTGGCCCTAAACCCTAAACCCTAAACCCTAAACCCTAAACCCTAAACCCTAAACCCTAAACCCTAAACCCTAAACCCTAAACCCCAAACCCCAAAGCCCTGAGCCCGAAGCTCTGAGCCCTGAAGCGTAAACCCAGTGCCAGAAAAAACCAGGGTTTAGGGTCTAGGGTTCTAGGGTTCGGGTTTAGGGATCTAGTCTAGGGTTTAGGGGTCCAGGGTTTAGGGTTTAGGGTTCTAGGGTCTAGGGTTTTAAACCCTGAACCGCGGCAAGCTGGGCCAAGGGCCCAACCCTCAAATCCTCGCCCTACAGCACCTGGAGACTGCCACGTTTAGGCTTTAGGGTTTAGGGTTTAGGGTTTAGGGTGCCCTTTTTAGTCCTAGGTTACTCCTGGGTCACCCTAAACCCTAAACCCAAAACCCTAACTCCTGGGGCTAGTTCCCTAAACCCTAGAAACCTTCAGCCCTAAAAGGCTCCAGGGTTTAGAGTCTTTATTCTTCGGGCAATGTTTGGGGGTTAGGGTTTCTAAGAAACCCACCCTAACACGCGCAACGCCCAGGCCCCAACTGCCTCCCCGGGCACAGTGGCCGGGGTCTTTGCTGGGGTTTAGGGTCCAGGTTTGGGGCTTTGGGATTAGGGTTTATGGCTAGGGTTTAGGGTTTAGGGGTGTCAGGTGTGTCGGCGGGCTGAGGGGGTTTTTAAGGGTTCGGGGTTCTCCTGCTTAGGGTTTAGGGTTCTTAGTCTATCTTAGTTTTTTGTGTATTCTTATGTTTTTGTTGTTTCTTTGGGGGGGGGGGGGGAAGGGTGGTTTAGGGCTCAGGGGTTTCGAGGGTTTGGGGCTTTTCGGGCTTGGAGGTTTTTCGGCCCCGGGGCTTCGGGTTGAATACACGGGGCTTCGGCCGATGGGTGCCAGTCTCCTTCGGCTTTGGGGTTGGTGGGGGTGTTGGGGCTTGTGAGTGTTTTGGTTTACGTTTGCGTTTGGTTTCGGAGTTTAGGGTTGTAGGGTTTTGGGGTTTAGTCTTCTTGTTTTTTGACTTCTGGGGCTTGGGGTCATAGCACGACTGGCTTGTGAAATGCCCGGCCGCTCCGACCAACTCCTTTCGTTCCTGCTCGGGATGAGGCTGTGGAGAGCAAAGGGCACGAGCCCTCGAAACTCTAAATCCTTGAGGGTTTTGGGGTTTGAGAGTTGCGGCTTACGATTGCAGTAGCTTGATTTAAAGGCCGAACCGTAAGCTCTACGTTGAAACGCCAAACCCGAAGCCCTGAACCCTAAATCCCAAACCCTAAGCCCTAGGCCCTAAGCCCTAAGCCCGAAGCCCGAAGCCCTAAGCCCTAAGCCCTAAGCCCTAAGCCCTAAGCTTCAAGCCCTAAGCCCTAAGCCCCAAGCACTAAACCCTTAACGCTAAACGCTTAACGCTACGCCAGAGTTTAGTGCAAGGTTCGCCCTCCTCGGTTGCGGGGGAGGGTGGCGGGATCCGAAAACGCTGAAACCTGCACACCGTGAATTCAACAAACATCCCCTAACCCCCGAGTTAGGGTCTAGGGTCTAGGGTCTAGGGTCTAGGGTTTAGGGTTTTGGGTTTGAGGTCTGGGGTTTAGGGTTTGGGTTTAGCCCGAATCCCGAAAGGGGGCTTATCAACGCCCCGAGTCTTGCTCGAGCCCTTCGTGCCAGTAGCCAGACGAAATTCTGACTCTTCGACTCTTTTAGACCCAGCTTTGCCATGGCGACCATGACAGCGACCATGACGGAGACCAGGGCAGAGATCGCCAAGGAGGCTGAGGCCAGGGGTGGGTCCAGAAGACCCAGAAGACTCCCTAAACCCTAAGCCCTAAACCCTAAGCCCTAAACCCTAAACCCTAAACCCTAGACCCTAAACCCTACAGCGGATCCAAGGTCGGGATCCCATTTCGTTTCTTTTGCTGGTTTCGGGTTCTTATCTGCTGTCTCTGCCACAGAACCATCTGAAAGGAGATCCCTTACTCTGCCCTGTCAACCCGAAGTAAGCCCAAACCCTGACTTCTGAGCCTTTCAGGCCCCCTAGACAACGCGAAAGGGGGTTGAGAGGGCTCCGGGTTTAGGGACTCCGACCCTAAACCCTAAACCCTAAACCCTAAACCCTAAACCCTAAACCCTAAACCCTAAACCCTAAACCCTAAACCCTAAACCCTAAACCCTAAACCCTCAGCCCTCAGCCCGGTTTAGGGTTTGGCGGGGGGGAAACAAACCCTAAACCCTGCACGACAAACCCGAAGCCCTAAGCGCCAAACCCCAAACCCCAAACCCTGAACCCTACTACCCATCCTTTTATGGACTTAGGCCATACTGTAAGCCGAAACCCTAAGCCCGAAACCCTAAACCCCAAACCCTAGACCCTGCGCACTGTGCCGAGGCTTGCTCAGACTCCGGTTCCACTCCCAGCTTTGGGAAGGACGTCTCCCTCAGCTCGCTGACCGAGCTTAAAGAGGACAAGGACGGGCTCAGGTTTAGGGTTTAGGGTTTGGGGTTGGGGGTTTGGGGTTTGGGGTTTGGAGTTTAGAGTTTAGAGTTTAGAGTTTAGGGTCGGGTCGAGGGTTTCCCAAGCAACCGTAAGCCCTATGCCCTAAACACCTGCAGCCCAAACAATGACCCTAAACCCTAAACCCTACAAACCCTGAACCCCAAACCCCAAACCCTAAACCCAATAACTCCCCCACATAAGAAGGCACGAATGCCTCCCTCTGCTTCACTGGCCTTGATCTTCTACTTCCTGGTTTTGGTCACGGTCAACTTGGTCATCACCATCCCTACGGCGAACGAGTATGCAGAAAGGTGGCATGGAAACCCGAAAGTCCGGAAGCTTTCGGCCCTAAACCCTGAACCCTAAACCCTAAACCCTAAGCCCGAAACCCTAAACCCTAAACCCTAAACCCTAAATCCTAAACCCTAAGCCCTAAACCCTAAACCCTAAACCCTAAGCCCTAAGCCCTAAGCCCTGGGCCCTCATGCTCAAAGCCTCCCAAAAAGGGCCTAGGAGCTCAGAGCCGAGTCGGGTCTCAGGTTTAGAGCTTAGGGTCCGAGGTTAGGGTTTAGGGTTTAGGGTTTAGGG